TGTTCATTCTGAGAGAGCTATGCAAATCTCTTGTGGTTTTTCATACCAAGTTCATGATCTTCTAGGTCTTTGTACTTACCGTTAGCTCTGCCAAAAATGCTCTTTGGACTCTGTGACTTCATCCCTTACTTTGATCAGGTCCCAATTTGAGTGTTATCTCCTTAGCAAAACCTATTCTTATCTTTTGATCTCAAAGAGCTAGCTGCTCTTCATGCTCTGTTACCTTATTCTACTTTAATCTTCTCATTTATCTATCTGATATATAATTATATAATGATATACTTACTATTCCCCAACTACAATGTAAGGTTTTTTTTGTTTTATTTTTTGTTTTTTGAGATGAAGTCTCGCTCTGTCGCCCAGGCTGGATTTCAGTGGCATGATCTCAGCTCATTGCAACCTCCACCTACTGGGTTCAAATGATTCTCCTACCTCAGCCTCCTGAGTAGCTGAGATTACAGACACACACTACCACACCCAGCTAATTTTTGTATTTTCAGTAGAGAAGGGGTTTCACCATGTTGGTCAGGCTGGTCTTAAACTCCTGACCTCCTGATCTACCTGCCTCAGCCTCCCAAATTGCTGGGATTACAGGTGTGAGCCACTGTACCCAGCCAATATAAGCTTTATGAGAACAAAAAAAGCGTCTATGTGTTCATCTCCAATGTTTTACTATCTGTAGCAGTGTCTATCAAGTACTAAGACGTTAATTAGTATTTATTGAATAAATAAGTAAACATCACTGTCTAGGAAAAGCAAAAGCATATATATACACACTCACTCATACACTCATACACACACACCCCCAATCTGTTATGGTTAGACCACACTAAAAATAGTGCATTTAATTCTACATCCTCTTTACTCGGTTGGATTAACAAGGCTCTTTATCTTTTAAAAAATGAATAAAGTTATTTGAAAACCTAAAAAAATCACCACCTGAAAAAGGAGTAAAGAGAGCACGGGTAGAGCCTAAATAGATGGACATTTAGGAATAAAAGTTACAGAAAAATAGATTATAAGTTCATTTTAAGAAAGGGATTTAATAGCCATAAATAAGCAAAAATAGAATGGACTTCCATGTGAAATCATGGGTCTGCCATCATTCAAGAGGTCCAAGTATAGCCTGGACAGCATTGATGAGCACAGCTGTAGAAAGTAGTTTAGCACAAAAATAGATAGCTTCAGGAAGTGGTCTGATTGGTCAGTTCCAGTCCCAAGGTGCTCTGATACAGAGATTTTACTCATGTTACCATTATGCAGGGCATTTAAGAAATACTTTCTTAGAAACTGCTTCCAAGTCTATGGCTCATTCTTTAGAATATATGTATTACTGACAAATTCAAGTTTGCTGAAGAAAGTGAGTGATAAGGCTTGTTATTAATAGTTTTTTTGTACTTCAAAAAATCACTGTGACTGTTACATGACTACTTCATTTTGTCATGACTTTTCAAATCTATTTTTAAATAGGAATTTCCATATTATTTTGACAAATGATAAAATTAGAAAAATTCTTTTCTGACGTTCCTCCTTTGAAGAACAAAATTATTTCAACTTGCAAATTTTAATTTGCATGATTAAAAAAGAAACATACTGAAATCATCAAATTAAATTACAATCTCAGCTCTTGCATAACATTCATAACTTTCCTAATATATGCAACGTGATTAAACCAAATATCTTATTTTAATGCTTCATAACAATAAACATCATTAGTTTCTCTCTTTTTCTGATGTTTAATTGAAGATAAGACATATTAAGTTACTTGGTCCAGAGTTAATCAAGTGCAGACCAGATCTCAAACCTTTATTCTAGGTTCATGGTCATATTATTCACCTCACCCTGATCACTTTGGTCTAGAATGAAGACCTTAACCAATGCTGCAAAATTCCAGGCCCCACCAAAGAAACATGGAAAAAATAATTCTGGAAGGTCTCTACTTTTTATTTTTTTCTCAAACTGTGCTGTATAGGAAGTTTTCTATTCAACCTCCTCATTGGTGTGTTCTGGCTATAAAGCACAATAAAAATGTCAAAAATTATTCTCTCCTGTAATGTAGGCCTTTTCTTGCCAGTGTGCAGAAAGCAATGATGGATTTTCAATACACTTTATAAAGTGTCACACCCTTGTTATTTTGTTTTCCAAAATCTATTTATATTCCATGTCTTTATGTTAAGCTTGGGTTACTAACTCACACATTTATTCTAAACTTAATTGAATTTTTATTACTCATGATAAAATTGGTGTTTTGCATTTGCACAATATTTCTCTGCTGTGGACTTTCATAAGGTACAATTATACAAGAATCAGAGCCTGGAGCAATTAATTATTAATGAATGGAATAAAGATATTAATGTTTATTTGTAACAAATGAGAGGCTATATTTGCTTCCCTCAGTTGTCACAGCAGACCCTGGATTTTGATGCCCTTTCCTTGTCTTAATCAGTAAATTCCAGTCCTAGGATCATAATAGCTAGATTATCTAATATTAAGATGCTATCTGAAATAGGCCTTCATATATATTTATGTGTGTGTGTGTGTGTGTGTGTGTGTGTGTGTGTGTATAGATATGCATATGAACATATATATACATATTAATACAAAGTCACACATATGCATAAAAACATACACATATACACTCAAATACACATAGGCACACACATATAAAGTGTTTGGCACTGATTTTTTTTTTCATCAGATCAACCACTGAGTAACTCCATAAGGCAGGGAGACTCAGTATTATTCTTTTTGTTCCAAAGATGAAGAAACTAAGACCTGGAAATTTTAAGTGACTTACCCGATATCACACAGCCAATAAGTGGCAGAGCCAAGACTCAAGTCCTCATCTCACTGATTCCAAAGTCCACATAACACTAAATGCTCAGGAGCTGACAATAATGACCCTCATTATGGCTTTTAGGGTTTACTCTATACTAGGCAGTTTACATATAATATCTTATTCATTCCCCTAAACAGCCATGGGTTAGATACTAATTCACCTATTACAAAGTCAAAAAACAAAAACAACAACAAAGACAGGCTGGAAATATCTCTGCAATTATATCATTAAAAAAAAAGTAACTTTCCCAGATAACTTCTAAATTGCAGAGCAGTGACATCAACTCATGTCTTCTGATTCCTTTTGCAGTTCTTAGAAACTCATCTTCCTGGTGTTTTTACTCTCTGATAAGAACAAGAAAAAAGACTTGTTAAGCAAATAAATATTTGCTTAACACAGAAACGTCTAATTGAATAATAATCTATTGCACTTTACTTTACCTTCCCTAACCCTTATTCCTATCCACATAATCAAAGATCATGGTGCCATATTGGTGAGGGGGGAAGGGATATAGAATAGGATGTATGAGAACCATAACTTGGTATACATTAAACATCTGGTATAATGCCTTCTAAAATTTTTGGTTGGCATGTTTCATAAACCACATATTACATTGTTCAATGACAATTCTACATAGAATTAAACAAATTAATAATTATATATGATGTGTTAAATGCTTTTTATTTATACTATTCCATTTCATTGTCTCAGTCTATATAAAATATGTTTTTATTCTGCTTTTGCAAAAGAAACTGTGGCTCAAGAACTTGACTGTCTTTTAAAATCCCATAGCTGGAGAATGGCAGACTTCAGATTCATATGTCAGCCTTCTGATTCACGGTGCAGTGCTTCCTTACCCACTGTTTTCTCCACAGTGCCTGAGGTT